TGTTCAACAACTACTTCACATCTATATTTACCACCGATACAAATATCGAAAACTACAGCTCTGACGCTCTTCCATATCAGTCTAACAATACTATCATCGAGGACATTACCCTTTCGGAAGCCGATGTTTTCTCCGTATTGCATAACCTCGACATTAACAAAGCCCAAGGTCCAGATGGGATTCCTGCACGATTATTAAAAGAAACAGCTCGCCAAATTGCTCCATCACTAACCGCCTTGTTTAATAAATCTCTGAACACTGGTGTGTTACCACGCGACTGGAAACTAGCAAATGTTGTTCCCGTTCACAAAAACGACAACAAAGAGCACGTAGAAAACTATCGACCAATTTCGCTTCTTTCGCTTATCTCGAAAGCATTGGAAAGATGCGTGTTCAATAAGATCAAAGACCACGTTTTCGAACAGATTAACAATGGTCAACATGGCTTTGTTCCTCGGAAGTCCTGTGTTACACAGCTCATTGAAGTTTTTGAGTATATTGGTCGTGAGCTGGATCTTGGGAAACAAGTTGATGTGATCTACTTGGATATGTCCAAGGCGTTTGATCGAGTAAGTCACATGCAACTGTTGAAACGACTTCGTGATTTTGGATTCGGTGGAAATATTCTTAACTGGTTTAGATCTTACCTCAAGGACCGTCGGCAGCAGACTACAGTACTTGGTGCAACATCGTCAGCACTACCAGTAACCTCCGGAGTTCCACAAGGCTCAATCCTTGGACCGCTGCTGTTCCTATTATATCAGAATAATCTCCCCAACTCCATCAACCACTCGAAGATCGCGACGTTTGCTGACGACACAAAGATTTACAAGGTGATAAACGCGAAGGCTGATGCATCCGCTATGGAGAATGATCTTGCTAATTTCCAAACCTCCTCTGCCAATGCTAATCTTCTCCTCAACACAGATAAATGTAAGACACTTCGAATTACTAGAAAACGCAACAAAATCGACCATACTTACAAGTTGCAAGATTCCGCTCTGAAAACCACAGATTGCGAACGTGACCTTGGCGTCTGGACCTCCTCCACTCTCACATGGTCGAAACAAGTCCTCCACCAGTGCGCCCAAGCCAACAAATCCCTCGGGTATATTCGACGGTCCACGATCAAAATCAAGACCATCTCTGTTCGTCGGACTCTATATCTTACCCTCGTTCGTTCCCACCTCGCATACGCGTCACAAGTTTGGGCTCCACAAACTGTTGACCTCATTAAGCGTACAGAACGCGTTCAACGACGTGCGTCGAAGTACATATTGAACCTACCGTTCTTCTGTGACATCAACTATAACCATCGTCTCTCAACATTAAATCTACTACCTCTGTGTTACTGGCACGAGTACCTAGACATATTGTTCCTTTTCAAATCACACCATGACATTATTAACCTAAGCAGCGACATACTACCTCACCCTCAAAATTCAAGTCAACGTACCCGATCTACAAACCCTAACTGCCTACAATTTTAGACTTCAGCATGCAAAACATCTACCTATCAAAAATCATATCTAATAAGGACTACTAGAGTCTGGAACACACTGCCAATGGATTTAACTATTAATAACATGGCAACTTTAAAGGACTTTAAAAATAAGTTATTAATCTATTATAAAACAGCACTAGATAAATGTTATGACGTTGACGATCCACGAACATGGAAATCGGTTTGCTTAAAATGCAACCAAGCTCGCGACCTGACAAGGCCGATAACGTGTTGTTTTTAGATTTAGTTTTCAGAAGTACCTTTTCACATTGGTATCTATGGGGCCTATTCAGGGTTTTGCTGAAGGTTTAGGATTGTGAGGGTTTCAAACGTCTTCTGACTCAGCTTCCAAAAATGGAAGTGGTTCTGCGGGTCGCAATGTGAAAAGAGTTGCATCTGATAGTTCGTTATAGTAATTGATTCTTTCTATGTACGTATATAGTGTATTTGTCTAACATTTAGGGATCGCAGTAATTGGCGCAAGCTGTTGCGATTGCCCTGCCAGTTTTTTGTGTTAACGTTGTTTAAATCTGGCAAAGTTAATAAAATTAAATTAAATTTGTTTCTAAATCTCTAGTAATATCTCTACTCACGTGCCAACTCATTCCCCGCTTTGCATACCAATCGGATTGTTTTTCCCTGAAGCGACGCTGCGTAAATTTCATTGCCCAGTCTATTACAATGAGCGCGGAATTCTCGTCCAGAATTTCAAGAACGTTTTGCTTGGTTACAGGAGCGAAGAATGTGACATTTCCATTTGAAAATGTTTTCTTTGCATTTACCGAAATCGTGCATGTAGTCTCCTTGTTGCTCGTTAGAATACATGGTGCTTGAATGAGTTCGAATAATTTTCTCAATCTCACTAAGGACGAATTTGAGCTCTTCACATCTGTCGCAGAAAAGATTATGTTCATGATTGCAAGATTTCTGAAAACAAGAGTTTTGCATCGCTTAACGCAAAACTTCTGCAATGATCTGGGCATGGACTTTGTTCTTTGCAATGCACACTGTAGTCGGTTCTGAGATATAGTATAGCGTTGTTTAATTTTCTTAAAGTACTCAGAGGAGGTCGGACAAGCAGGCCGCAAAGCATCATGGGTTTGAGCGCCTAATTCCAGGCGTGGCTTCAATGACTCTTTGACTGTCGTGGAGTGAACATCTCTCCGAGTAAACAAATATGGAAGCATTCGAAATACAAGATTGTCAGGCTGCAA